AATCATTAATTATCAAGTCATGTAAGATATTCATTCTATATTAAATTGATAATTAATTATCATGAATGATTTAATAAACTAAAAAGACAAACATACTAATTATATATTTGTTTCCAAAAATATTGTTGATACCATGTCCAAAAGAAGCATTTACATTTATTATTAGTAACCTCAATTCCATCAACTCCCTCTTTATATATATATAGATTTATTTCCTTTGTTTTAATTATTATTAATGGTATTCTAAATTTGTTAAGAAACTTATTTATTTTATTATTTTATTAAAATCCTTGTCTTATTGAACAAACTAGTAATCTAGGGATTTGAAGAATCTTATTTAAGGATTCCACTTCTTTTGTTCTAGGAAATTCACGTATTTACAAGAGAAATCTCTTATCTTATTTCTCGTTCGTGCGCTGCAATATGTCAATTGGTATCAAGAGACCAACAATGATCTACGATGCCGCTGCGAAGAAATGACATTGCGGACGACAAACACGATTCTTCCATCAACGCTATGAGTCGCAAAACCAAGGGGTTCAGACGGCAATTCGAGGCGATGGGTCATGAGATTGCAGACCTTTCTGTGGGGATCGACGACATACGTCTGGCTCTTCATACAACTGTTTAGAGCGATCGGTCGAACCGCCCCCACGACGGGAGGTGCGGTAAGATACACAGGGGTCGCGGCTAGGGTGCACGCGGCGAACACTATTATCGGTCTCCTCCTTCGTGGGTCGAAGACGGTGGCGATGACTGTTTGTCCCATTTTTTTTGCATTTTTTGTTGTCATTTTGCCTTTCTTTTACCCCCATATTAGGCCTTTCAGTTGTTTTTTTAGTTCATTTTGTAGTTTATTTCGTGGTTTGCTCTATTTTGATATTTTTTTTGTTTCTTGTGTGTTTTTTCGGTTTTCTTTTATTTTTGGTGTGCAGGTCGGAAGCCCCGTGAGAAATGGATTTAGCACGAAAATTGATCGAGCAATCATGGTTGTGAAGATGGTGCGTTGGCGACATATAGGAAGAAGCGGAACTCAATTTTGAGCTCGGACGAGCCCGAACGGGCTCAAACAGCAAAGTCGCGCAAATCACGTTTTTGGTGTGCATGTCATAAGCTTTGGGAGGACAGGTTTTCAAGAAAATATTTGATGGGTTTGCATAGTTAGATAGAGGGGTTCATTGGCGATGCGCAGAAAAAAAAAGGAACTCAATTATGAGTTCAAACGAACCCGAACGAGCAAAAATCGTAAAGTCGTGCAGTGCAACCCAGTTTTCTTCACCGCAGCCGCGGCGAACAAAAAACTGCCAGCGCCCAACCTTCTGCGGAAAAATGTCGCGACCGCGGAGCCTTTGCTCACCGCAGCCAGCGGGAAGCTCCGCG